GGGGCCTCAAGGGCCAGGCCGGGGGCGGGGCGGCCGGGGGCGGGGCGGCCAGGCCCGGCAGAAGTGGCAGAGCGCAGCGGCGCCGTCTGGTCCCTCCGCAGTGCATGGCGCTTGGGATGAGTGGTCGCCCTGGAGCCTGTGCTCCAGCACCTGTGGCCGCGGCTTCCGAGACCGCACGCGCACCTGCAGGCCGCCCCAGTTTGGAGGCAACCCCTGTGAGGGCCCCGAGAAGCAAACGAAGTTCTGCAACATTGCCTTGTGCCCTGGTAGGTGAGAGGGAGGGCGCTGGGTGGAGGGTGGGGTGGAGGAGGGGAGGGAGGGAAAGGGGGAATGGCCCAGGGGTATACCCCAGACGCCTAGGTATGCCCACCGAGTCCCACCTGCCAGCGTGCACAGAGATTGGAAGCTCAGATGATGATCAGGCTGGAGGTTGGAGACCCTGGGGCAGTCTCACTCATGCGCCATGGGTGTTGGGGTGGTGAGCCCCTTGGGGTGTTCACACCTATGACCCGGGCTTGGTATTGGGTGGTGAGTCCCCTGAGGGGTGTTCACACTTGTGACCCAGACTCAGTGTTGTGGTGGTAGCCCCCAGGGGTTCTCACATTCGTTTCCCAGGCTGGGTGTTGGGGTGGTGGCCCCAGGGGTGTTCACACCTATGACCTGGGCTTGGTGTTGGGTGGTGAGTCCCCTGGGGGTACTCACACTTGTGACCCAGACTCAGTGTTGGGTGGAGGCCCCAGGGGTGTTCACATTTGTGACCCAGGCTGGGTGATGGGCCCTGGGGGTGCTCACACTTGTGACCCTGGCTGCATAGTGGAGTGGCGGCCCCTGGAGCTGTGCACGCCTGTGTCCCCGGCTGGGCACGGGGCCCTGGGTGTTCATGCCGGTTCCTGTCCCCTTCCTCCCCCGGGCCGGGCAGTGGATGGAAACTGGAACGAGTGGTCGAGCTGGAGCACGTGCTCCGCCAGCTGCTCCCAGGGCCGGCAGCAGCGCACACGGGAGTGCAACGGGCCTTCATACGGGGGCGCAGAGTGCCAGGGCCACTGGGTGGAGACGCGAGACTGCTTCCTGCAGCAGTGCCCAGGTCAGGGCTGCCCTGGGGCCTGTGGGGGGGCCTGGCAGGCGTGAGCCACGTGGGAGGGGCGAGGCCCGTGGGGGCTAGTGTGGACTCAGCAAGTGGCCGTGGGGGCGTGGGGGCTGTGGGATGTGAGTGGTCGCGAAGGGACCGTGCACGTGAGGCGTTTGTTTTTTTCTGCATCAAGCTGAGCTCTGGTTTCTCCTCTCCTGGTCCCAATGCCTTTTCTCCTCATGGCTTCCTGGTCCTGCGTCCCTGGGCCCCTGTGTCTCTGCATCCCTGTGGCTCCTGGACCTGCACCCTCCTCGTCCCCATCCCTGTGCCTCCATGCTTGGCCGTGTCCTGCAGTGGACGGGAAGTGGCAGGCCTGGGCATCGTGGGGCGGCTGCAGTGTCACCTGTGGGGGCGGCACGCAGCGACGGGAGCGTGTCTGCCTGGGGCCCTTCTTCGGGGGAGTGGCCTGCCAGGGCCCGCAGGATGAGTACCGGCAGTGCAGCGCCCAGCGGTGTCCTGGTGAGTGTATCCTGCCCGCCCCCACGGCTGGGCTGTGGGAGGGGCCTCCTGAGCCGCCAGGTGGGCTTGGGGCTCAGCTTTGCTGGGGAAGGCCTCCCCCTGGTGACGGTAGATGTCTGGAGGAGTCCAGGCCTTCCCGAACCTGCCGCCAGCTCTCCGTCCCCTTCCTGTATCCTGCCCCCTTGGCAGAGCCCCATGAGATCTGTGACGAGGACAACTTTGGTGCTGTGATCTGGAAAGAGACCCCAGCGGGAGAGGTGGCCGCTGTCCGGTGTCCCCGAAACGCCACGGGTGAGGGCCGCCAGGACAGGTGGCGGGGGGGTTCCTGTCCCGTCGTCACAGAGGGGTGCATGAGGCACCCAGACACCCCTGCAGGCCTGCTCCGAGGGGCTGTCAGCGCGGGGACACAGCCCAGATGTGTGTCCAGGCAACCCCTCGTGTGCACTGGAGCGCAGTACAGGCTGGGAGCCCAAGGCCACCCAGTGGGGACGTTGCTGGCAGCTGTGGTGTCCTGAGGGCTCACCAAGAGCCAGCACCTGCACGAAGCCCGTTACGTGCAGTGTCCCATGATGTCACCATTTACAGGAGGGAAACTGAGGTGCAGAGAAGTTAACACACTTGCCCTGGGCTCGCGGGGCCAGTAAGTGGGAACTCCGCTTTGAAGGCCTGTGGTCTTAATCCCCGAGCAGCTCTGTGGAGTGATGGGAGGTGAGGGGGCTCCCAGGGAAAGGGTCCCGGCTGCACCCAGGGGTTGTTCTTCTTCCCCCATGTTATCTGAAGGCGTGCTGGCAGTTTGTGTACTCTTGTTGTTTGCTGTGTGACGTTCAGAAAGTGACCCTCTCTGAGCTTCTGTTTTCTCTCTGTAAAACGAGGGCATTGTGGGCTCCCCCACAGGACTGTAGTAAGGAAGGGGTAGGGTGGTCCAGGCGGGGTGGGGACGGCAGTGGGGGCCGTGATTCCTGCCCCCTCAATTTGTTTACAGACAATACATGTTCTTGGTAGCATATTGCAAGTCAGAGGCACAACATGAGGAAACACGGGCCACACGATGGTGCGGCTCCTCGGGCCTTCTGTCGACACTTATGACCAACCTCCCCTCATTTTGATCGTGCGCCACGCTGTGGAGCGGGTGTCCCTGCCCGCCCCGTGGCTCTGTTGGGTGGCAGGTTGTGGCAGTTCTCAGTGGTCGTCACTGCTGCGCGTGCATGCGCACCCAGGCCGTCGGAGGACACCCTCCTGGGCTGCCCGAGGCCCCTGCCGCCCCAGGGGTAGAGCCGGGCCGGGGCACCTGGGGGTTGGCTCCCCCCTGGGCTCTGGATTGGGAGGGACTCCAGGAGGGCCCCCGGGCTGAAGTCCGAAGCCCCTGCTTGGCTGAGGGCTCTGCCTCCACGCGGAGGGCCTCTGAAATTTGGTCCTGCCGGGTCCCCGGCACCTGGCACAGCTCCTGACTTGCAGCGGCCACTCCCAAACGTGTTGAAGGAAAGAAGACAGGCCGCCCTGCGTGGCTCTGCTCTTAGCGGGAGGCCGAGGGCGAGGCCCTGCTTCTGGGGCCGGAGGGTCCTGTCCAGAGGGGCTCGTGCCTGGGAGCTGTGGGTGTGATTCCTGCGCTGGAGATGGTGCCCACCTGAGAGGGGGAGGCAGAGCTGCCCACTGTCTCCCCAGGCCTCATCCTGCGGCGCTGTGAGCTGGACGAGGAGGGCATCGCCTACTGGGAGCCCCCCACCTACATCCGCTGCGTCTCCATTGACTACCGAAACATCCAGATGATGGTGAGGCCGCCGGTGGTCTCCCTCCCTGCCCCCCTCCAGGGTGCTCTCCTGCCTTGTGTCCCTCAGACGTAGCCCGACATGCCATGCCCTGTGGACACTGGTCAGCTGTGGCCACTGGCTGGGGGCCGCAGAGGGTCCTCGAGGCATGGGGGTCCGTGGTGCCTGCCTTGCCATGTCCTGCAGAGTCGCAGCACCCACTCCTCTGTCTCCCCAGACTCGGGAGCACCTGGCGAAGGCGCAGCGTGGGCTGCCCGGGGAGGGCGTTTCCGAGGTAATCCAGACGCTGGTGGAGATCTCCCAGGATGGGACCAGCTACAGTGGGGACCTGCTCTCCACCATCGACGTCCTAAGGAACATGACGGAGATCTTCCGGAGGGCCTACTACAGCCCCACTCCCGGGGATGTGCAGGTGGGCTCCCAGGAGGGTGGCCCGGGGGTGGGCGTGTGGGAGGGTGGACAGGGAGTGGTCCTGGACCCCAGCCTTACTGAGTCCTGACCTGGCCAGAGGCTGGGCCCTGATCCTGGTCACACATTGAGCCTGACCCTGGTCACCTGCTGAGCCCAGACCCCTCACACTGGTCACACACTGAACTGTGATGCTGGTCACACCCTGAGCCCTGACCTTGGTCACATACTGAGCCCTGGTCCTGGTCACACTCTGAGCCCTGGCCCTGGTCCTGGTCACACACTGAGCCCTGGCCCTGGTCACACTCTGAGCCCTGGTCCTGGTCACACTCTGAGCCCTGGTCCTGGTCACACACTGAGCCCTGGTCCTGGTCACACTCTGAGCCCTGATCTTGGTCACACACGGAGCCCTGGTCCTGGTCACACTCTGAGCCCTGGTCCTGGTCACACACTGAGCCCTGACCCTGGTCACACTCTGAGCCCTGACCCTGGTCACACACTGAGGCCTGACCCTGGTCACACACTGAGCCCTGACCCTGGTCACACTCTGAGCCTGGATTCTGGTGCCTTATTCTCTGCTCTCTGGCCCTCCTTCACTTCTTTCCAGAACTTTGTCCAGATCATCAGCAACCTGCTGGCAGAGGAGAACCGGGACAAGTGGGAGGAGGCCCAGCTGGTGCGGACACGGGTCTGGGGCCCTGTGGTCAGAGCAGCAGGATGGGCCCCGGTGTCTCTGGCACCTAGCCCAGGGTGGGCCCTGGGTTCAAATCCCAGCGTGGCCTCTGCTGGTGGCGTGACTTTGAGGAAGTTGCTTACCCTTCTGAACCTGGGTTTCCCCGTTGACAGAGGGTGGTAGCACCCCTCGTGGGGCTCAGTGAGGGGTGTGGGTGTCCACTGTGCGGGGCACGTCAGGGTGACCAGGACATGGTGGTTCTTTCCCACCTGGGAAGAGCGGTGGCCTCCCTTCTCCCCAGATTGACCTGGATGCTGCCACCACTACTGTCCTCAGGCAGTTCCTGGTGTGGGGGCTGCGGGTCTCCAGAGTCCCCGCTCTCCCCCGCAGCCTGAGTCCCTGGCCACGGGGCCGGCTCAGCAGCCCCTCTGGGCTCAGTGTGCTCATCCACAAAGTGGCACAGAATCCTCTGAGGTCCTGACCTGCTCCCCAAGGCGGGCCGCAGCCTCGCCGTGCCGGGGAATGAGGACAGAGCTGAGAAGGGGAGCAGATGCGGGAGGAGGCGGGAGGAGGCGGAGGACCTAGAGGGTGTGTCCGGCTGGGTGCGGGGCTGCTCCCCACCATCTCCAAGGCTCCCTGACCCCCCCCCGCCCCCAGATGGGCCCCAACACCAAGGAGCTGTTCCGGCTGGTGGAGGACTTTGTGGATGTCATCGGCTTCCGCATGAAGGACTTGCGGGACGCGTACCAGGTGACGGACAACCTGGGTAAGCCCGCCCCTCGCTCCGCTGACCCCCGTGCCCCTGCTCGTGGCCCTGGGCAGGGCCCGCCTCAGCTCCCTCATCTGCATGAATGGGCAGCAGCCACTTGCGCTCTGCGGACCCTCGGAGTCACTTTCTCAGATCAGTCCCGTTTTTGGGTGCTCAGAGCCAAGTTTCCTGACGATTGTGGTCGGATAGGACCCCGGGAGGGGTCAGCGTGGGGTATCCTGGAGACCCCGAGTCCTAGGACCCACCAGGATCCCAGACCACAGCCAGCCCTCTGCTTGCACCTCCCTGGGGCTAGGGGCCACTTCCCGTCGTCACCCCCGCCCCCCCGTGCCCTCTGTGCTGGGACGGCCTCGAGCTTTGAAGGCAGGACTATGGAGCCGCCCCCTTCTGTGCCCTCACTCCCAGAAGCCTCTTGTCGGAGGGGCCTGGTCTCCACCCAGCTCCATGGCATTGACCGGAACTCTGAAATGGGGCCATAATAGTACTCACCTCTTGGGGACGTAGAGAGGGATAACTGGGCCTGGCCCCCAGAATGTAAATGGTGGCTGTTCTTATAAGTACCTGCAACAATCATATTTGGTGGTTACTAGCAATGTCCCCTTAGGTAGCTCCCCTGGGCCGCATTTCTTAAATCCTCCCGTCCTGGGGCTCCTCTCCTGATCCTCTCCAGTGGTCAGGGTCCTTCCTTGCAGTGGGGGATTCAAGTGGACGCTGGCCCCAGCTGTGATCCAAACAGCACCAAGGAGGGAGATTGTCACCTTCCTTGTGGAGGCACTCAACCTCTAGTGATATGCCCGAGGTCAGCTGTGCTGCATTAGCACACACACCTGGGGCCTTGCCTGGATCTCCCCCCGCCACTCATGCTAAAAGGCACGGAGCTGTCCTGGGCGAGGACAGATGTCCCCATGTTTGCTAGGCTGGGGGTTCTCAGAGCGCTAGTACTGCCCTTCTGCCCGCATCCTGGAGGTTGGTCAGAGCCGGGGAGACCTCTAAGGCCAGGGTGGGGGCATGACCAGCCTGCCTTTCACAGGTGGGGGAACTCAGGCCAGGGAGGTGGGGTCAGGTGCTATTGGAGGTCACCTGGCAGGCAGGGTCCGCGGTGGCTCCAGGCTGCCTCGTCAGAAGGCCGGCGTGGCGTCCCTGTCTCTGAGGCACCGTCCTGTCCCCGTCCTCGCGGGCAGACTGGCCTTTCCTGCGTGAGAGGCAAGCGTCCCGGGGGGTGGGGGACCTGGTGTGGCCCGCAGCAGGCGGATGCAGGCCTCCCGGTCCAGGGCCTCACGGGCTGCAGGCTCCCAGTGTGTGTGGCGCACCCAAAGCCTCCGGAGGGGCGTCGGGGTGGCTGCGGTCCCCCGACATCCTGCCCGGGGGGCCCTGTCCTGAGTGGACGGACGTTCAGGGCCAGCCTTTGTCACCAAGGAGGCTCCTCCCAGTCACCCTCATTACCCTCACACCCCACACATCCCACACCCCACACCCCACACACCCCACACCCCCCACACCTCACACCCTCCATATGCCCCGTACCCCACACACATGACACCTACACACCCCACACACCCTACACACCACACAAACCACACATCCCACACCCCACACACCCCACACCCCACACACCCCACACCCCTCACACACGCTACACACCCCACACATGCTACACCCCCCACACACCCTACACACCCCACACCCCACATACTCCACACACACCATATGCCCCACACCCCACACACCTGACACCTATACACCCCACTCATCTTAGAGACCTCACACACGCCATTCACCCCACACCCCACACATCCCTCCTGTTCCTCCCCCCTCTCCTGAGGCCCCTCCCCTGTGCCATCGGGGCCCACTGTTCCGTACCAGTGGACTCCCCAGGCCCGACCTCATCCCCTAGTGTTCCTTTTCCTTCCTGGCCTGCAGCCCTCTCTGGGGAGGGGGCTGATCGTCCTTCCTCAGCCTTGGGACCCTGGGTCCTCCTGGCCCCTCCTGCTCCTTCTCCCTGTCACCCAGGGTCACTTTCTCCACGCTCTCCCGGAGTAGACTTTGGGATGTTGATATTCACACACGTCCATTCCCACACCCTGGCCCCTCAGTCGCCTGGACTCCTCTGAGGACCTTGTCCCCCCAGGGACCCCCACGCCGGTCCTGTCAGTCCTACTCTGACCGCGGTCCCGCTATCCTCTCCCGAGCGCTCTCTCTGAGCGCCCCATCGGACCCAGGTCCTCCCGTCCCCTCGCCTCCCCCTAGCCCTCATGTCCATCCAGGTCAGTCCAGCGGCCGCTCCGCTCTCGTCCCCGCCCTCCCTCATGGGGTGTTGCCTGCTCCTGCTGCCCCTGCACACCCTGCACCACGTGTCTCTGAACCCCTGACTTCCGTGGGCCATGGCTCTGCCCACGGGGACCGCGTTCCCTGCCCCGCAGGGTCCCAGGACCCTGCTTCTCTCCCAGCCCCAACCCCTGCCCTCTCCTCAGCTGTTGACCTTGCTTCCCAGCACGCTGACCCCATGACCCCTGCCCCGTCCTGTCCTCCCCAACCTGTCGCCACTTTGCCCCAGGGCCTGGGGTGGGAACGCTGCCTAGGTGGCAGACGCACAGGGCCCGACTGGGGCTGGGGCTGGCTCGTTAGGTGTAGCCCAGCTGGGGCCTGGCTGGGGCTGAGGGCCCTTGGGAGGCCGGCCGGGCCACAGAGCCAGGCTCCCTCAGGGGGGAGTTGGGAGGGCAGGTCGCGGGATCTGCTGTCTCCTGTAATGTTGCCGAGCCATGTGTGGTGGGATCTGTCCCCGTCGCCATTTACGGAGCCCGGGTGGAGGGGGAGCTGGGCTCCGGTGTCCCAGGAGAAGGGAGGGCGCCAAGGTGGACGCTGTTCCCTCTGGATCCCTCCGTGGCCACAGACCTGACCATAGAACTCACATTTGACACCTTCTGGGGCCACGGAGGCTGAGTCCAGGCCTGGGTCCTCACGGGGCAGGGGGGCTCCTGCTGGGGCTGGAGGGTCCTTTGAGGGCTAGAAGGGGCCAGCCAATCCCCTCTGGGTTTGGCTCATCAGCACCAGGCCGGTGCTCTGGGGGCTCTGACCAGCCCCAGCCCACATCTGCTGCCCCCTCGCTGTCCCCCATCCAAGACTCCACCGGGCTCTGGGGACACGGTCGACCCAGGGAGCCTGTAGGGACAGAGCGCGGTGGGGAGGAGGTCAGTCTGCAGCTTGGGGCCAGGGGTCTCCTGTTGAGGCTGGGAAGTCACCCAGGCCCGAGGCCTCGCAGGGGGGTTGATGGCAGGCAGCAGCCTGGCCAGGTGGCTCCCCGGGCCCCGTGCCCCCCCTGAGCCGTGCGCAACCCCGCCAGGTGGAGCTGGACTCCCAGACCTGCTTCCCAGGTCCGCAGGCCAAGGCTCCTTGTCGGGTGACCACTCTGTCCCTCTGTCTGTCTGTCCGTCTCTTGCCCCCCGCCCCCCAGTTCTCAGCATCCACAAGCTCCCTGCCAGCAGAGCCACAGACATCAGCTTCCCCATGAAGGGCTGGCGGGCCACAGGCGACTGGGCCAAGGTGCCGGAGGACAGGGTCACTGTGTCCAAGAGCGTCTTCTCCACAGGGCTGGCAGGTGAGGGGTCCCAGGGTCTGAGGGCCCATCCCCCTGGGAGGTTCCTTCTAGAGTCTGGCCTGCTGCCTCCAGGGCCAGGGCAGTACCTGTTTCTTTTCATTGTTCCCGAGTTTGCCCCCTCCAGCAGGAAGCCCTCCCTGCCCTCCCAGTGTTGGGAGGCTCCCAGATGATCTTTGCTGAAGGGGCCTCCTCATAGCAGGGAGGGGAAGGGCCTCGCCTGGAGTCACACAGCTGGCGACTCTGGTCCCCAGAAGAGAAGCCCGTCCTGCCTGTCCCCAGCTCACTGTGTCCAGGGTGGGGGTGGACGTGGCCACAGGCCTCCTCTGGGGACCTGCTCTTCCCTCGCCCGCCCTCCTGCCCTCCCCCAGCCTGAGTGGGAGCGGGTTGGGGGAGGGTGACGTGGTGGCCTGGCTCTCTTCCAGAGGCCGACGACTCGTCCGTGTTTGTGGTGGGCACCGTGCTCTACCGGAACCTGGGCAGCTTCCTGGCGCTGCAGAGGTGGGGCTGCGGGGCTCGGGGGGTGTGGGGTCTGAACGTGGAGGGCGCCAAGGGGTGCGGGCCTCCTCGGGCCCAGGGGAGGGGTCGGGGCAGCACGTAGGGGGCGGCTCCCCGGACCCCCTGACGCGGCCTGCTGGCTCTCCCCCAGGAACACGACCGTCCTGAACTCCAAGGTCATCTCGGTGACTGTGAAGCCCCCGCCTCGCTCCCTGCTCACACCCCTGGAGATCGAGTTTGCCCACATGTACAACGTGAGTGCTCTCCGTGTGTGCGTGTGTGTGTGCGTGTGCCTGGTTCTTCCTGTCTGGTCCCGCGTGTGGAGTGTATGTGCCCACACCTCTTGGGTCTCACATCAGCCTTGCGAGAGAGCTGCTTTTACCCCCGAGTGGTGGGTGGGGAAACTGAGGCTCAGAGAGGTGTGGTGACTTGCCCAGGGTCACACAGTGGGGCCGGCCGTGTGGGAGCCAAAACTCAACCACGTCTGACACCACTGCCTGAGCCCTGGCCACTCCCCCCGACGCCTGGTCCCCTGAGGGGGCCTGTTGCTCCCTTGGGGAAGAGAGAGCCATCCCTTTCTGAGAAAGCAGTTTGCCCTGGGCCTCACGGCCCCTCTGTGCCCTGATCCTGGGGGCTCTCTGCTGGGCCTCAGAGGAGCTGGGGCTGAGACACCCTTTGGACCTGCTGAGAGCCAGGAGCCCAAGGGTGCCAGCTGCCCGAGTTACCCAGCCAGGGCAGGGCCTCGAACCCCAGGCCGGGGCTGTGGGAAGAACCGGCTCTGCTCTTTACAGCTGTGTGGCTTTGGACAAGTTGTTCAACCTCTCTGTGCATTGGCTCATCAAGTGGGAACTGTAGAGTAATTTCCCCATGCATAGAGCAGCTGCCCCTCGTGAGTGCTGAGGAACCCCTGCTGCTATCACTCCTGTGGTCCCAGTGCCCTCACACTGCAGCCTCAGGACAGGCTGAGGCCCTGCTGTGCTCTCCTGACCCCTGCTCCCTGTTACCCTGTTTGCATTAAGCTGGACCGGCCACCTGGACATCCAGAGATGGGCCTTGGCCGCCACTGCCCAGCCCTGCTCAGAGAGGGGCCGGGAGCTGCCCAAGGCCATACAGCGGGGTGTAGGGGGCTGGGCTGGTCCCTTTCCCATCTGGGCCTCAGTTTTTTCCTTTCCTGTGCACCTAGCACACGTGTGGGTAGACCCTGGCAGTGATCCTCGGGGGGGCTCGTAGAGCGGCAGGTGGCCCTCACTCCTCCCCTGTCTCTCCCAGGGCACCACCAACCAGACCTGTATCCTGTGGGACGAGTCGGACGTGTAAGTCCATCTGGGCCTCATGGCCTCGGGGCCTCTGGGGTGGGCTTGTGGGGAGGCTGGCCCAGCAGGGAGGGGTGCAGGTTTCAGGTTTGGGGCCGCCGCCCCCAATCCATCTGTGTCTCGCACGGTCCCTCCCTGCCCAGGTCTGGCTCTGAGGCAGCATGGAGCTACCCAGCCCACCCCCCGCCCTTCCCAGGGAAGTCCACAATCCAGGAAGGAGAGGGGCACGGAGGTGAAACCCTGGGCCAGGTGATGGGCTGGGACGCCCCTGGCCTGCCCCACCCACCCGGAGCAGGCGGGCTTCTGAAGTCTAGGTTTGCAGGAGCTGGGGGAGCCGTGGCAGACGGGGCCACTTGGGTGGGATTGGGGACCCAGAGTGATCAGATGGGAAGCGAAGGCTCGGGGGTCACTGCCAGCTCCTTGTCTAGCACTTACGGGGGCCAGCCCGCGTCGGCGCTGCAGTGCCTCGCCTCGGGAGCAGGTGGAGTGTCTGGGCCACGCCCCGCAGGGGTTGGGCTGGATTGGCTGGGCTGTGATGTGGGATCTCTGGGCCCTGCCTGGGCACCCAAAGTAGGGTGTCCTCCCAGACGCAGTGAGACAAAGGGGGAGGGGCGGGGGCCTCGTTGAGTCACAAGGGAGAGTTTGCGCAAAGGCCCCAAAGTGGGAGTGGCCCCCAGAGGCGAAGAGGGTCAGAATTTTGGGAGACGGGGTGGGGGGAGGGGAGCTTGCTGGCTGGATCCTCATGTGCCAGGTGGGTCTGGTGGGGGCTGGGCCTTCCCCCAGGGGGTTTGGTGTGCGTTGGGGAGGGTGCGATCAGGGAGCTGGGTGTCATTGTCACCGCCTGCCTCTCTCAGCCCTGGCACCGCCAGCCCCCCGGCCTCCCTGCACCCTTCCCCAGGCCGGCTGGCAGTGTGAGTGTGCTCAGCCTGGGCCCCGGGCCTGGGGGTACATCAGCAAGTCCCTTGTGCTCTGGGCATTGCAGTGACGGGTGTGTGTCCTGGGAGGTCAGGGAAGGGTTCTGGAGTGGCTGTCACTGGAGTGGGGCAAGTTTGCCTGGCAGAGAAGGGGAGGAAGGGGTTTCAGGCAGAAGCACAGCTTGAGCAAAAGCATGGAGCTTGGAAGATACAGGAGGAATGTGAGGCGTGGCCAGGAAGAGCAGGTGGCCGGAGAGCAGGCAGCATAGGTACAGAGGGAAGTCTGCAAGGGGCGTGGGGCCAGTTTGTGGGGGCTTTGTGTTAGGAACCATGGAAGTTGTTGGAGGAATGGGATCGTCATCCACCCACCCATCCCTTCCCCTCATCCATCCCCCATCCATCCATCCACCCATCCATCCATCTCCTCATCCCCCCATGCATCCCTCATCCATCCATCCCCTCATCCCCCCATCCATCCCCTCATCCCCCCATCCCCCCATCCATGCATCCCCCATCCATCCATGCCCCATCCATCCATCCCAGATCCATCCATCCCCTCATCTGCCATCCATCCCCCATCCATCCACCCATCCATCCCCTCAACCCCCCATGCATCCCCCATCCATCCATCCACACATTCATCCATCATCCATCCATCCCCCATCCATCCCCCTATCCATGCATCCCCCATCCATCTGTGCCCCATCCATCCATCCCGCATCCATCCATCCCCTCATCCCCCCATGCATGCCCCATCCATCCATCCCCCATCCATCCATCCACACATTCATCCATCATCCGTCCATCCACTATCCATCCGCCATCCATCCATCCCCTATCCATCCATCCCCTCATCCCCATCCATCCCCCATCCATGCATCCCCCATCAATCCATCCACACATTCATCCGTCATCCATCTCTCCACTATCCATCCACCCACCTGCCCATCCTCCAGTGATTACTGACCACCAACGAGGCACTGGTCTAGGAAGTCCTGGCCCTCAGCCTCCGCCCATCTCCAGTGAGGAGGGACAGTGAAGCAGGAATGTACAGACCCGGGTGAAAATGTCAGGTCACGCCACAGGCCAAGAAGTGGAGGCAGATGGATCTGGTGGCAGGTGGGGTGAGGTGCCTTTCAGAGCAGGTTCACGGAGGCCTCTCTGAGGAGGTGATGTTGAGCAGAGGCCTGACACAGCACTGTGCACGTGGGTGTCTGGGGACAAACATCTTGGCAGAAGAAACAGAAGTGCAAAGGCCCTATGGTGGGAGTGCGCAGGCCGTATGGCAGACTCTCTGCCTTTCCTCCTCTTGGTCTGGGGACATGAGGACAGGGTCTGGGGCGGGGGGCTGGGCTGGGCTGGGGGAGAGCTGGGGCGGACCCCGCGGCCCTGGGAAACCGGCCCCCTGGCTTTGGTTGCTGTCGACAGCTTTTCTCTGAGTTTTGCAAGCAGCACAAGCTCTGTGTATGAAATGGAGTGTCAGAAAAGGATGAAAAAGGAAAAAGCAAGAAAGAAAGCCCACATGCTAGCAGTACCCAGGCCGGCCCCTGCGGCCAGCGGGCATCGCCGGACATGTCAGAGCTTTGCGTTTTCAGGGGTGGAGCTGGCGCTGCGGCTGCAGGTCCATCCTCTCGGGGCCCTGATGTCAGCACAAGCCCGTCCCCGCAGCCCACAGACCCTTCCCCGGGCTGTTCCTGCAGCTCCCTGGGCACCGGGTTCTGCCAGCCGGCCCTACTGGAGGAGCCATGCGCTTCCTGCTAGGAAACCCCAGCCTGACTGGACGGCCTTGCGCACGTCTCCCAGTATTTCCTCCGCATCGCGTCCTTGGACAGTTTTAAGCTCTTGGTAGTAAATTGTTTTCCAGAAAAGTGGGAGCCATCCCCTTGGCCCTCCTGGGCCAGGAGGCTGTGAGAGGTCTTGCCAGCCCAGTGTGTGTCAGGTTCAGTGTCCCTTGGACCCTCCTGTGGTCGAGGAGGACCGAGTGGTTGTGTGGCCTGGGGCAGATCGTGCCCGCTGGGGGCCTCGGCTTCCCGTCCTTGTGGCTGGAGTCTGCCTGCTTGTGGGTGGGAGCAGAGGGGATTAGGGAGAAGACTGACCGCGACCTCCATCTGCCCTTCCTCTCTCAGGTGTGGGGGGGCCCCGCCTGCCACCCCAGGGGTGCTCCGCCCCCCTGGATGGATGGCATTGTTAAGGTCTCTCCTCCTGAGGGCCCAGGCCCCGAGGACAGCAGCAGGGTGCCCACAGCTGGGGGGGTGTCAGGCCTGCCCCGGACAGTGTTGTGCATACAAGGTCTCGGTTGGGTTTGGGGCACGGCCCTGGGAGCCTGGCTGCGCTGTGCCTGTTACACTGAGGAAGCCGGGGCTCCACAGGCCCGTGGTCAGCCGAGAGATCAGGAGTGCGGACTGAGGCATCTTCCAGGACTGGGCAGCTGGGGCCCATGGGGGAGGCTCTGCCCCTCCCCCACCCTGGGCCTCTGCTCTGTGTGGGATGGCTTCTCCTTCCGTGACCTGGCAGGACCACTGCTTACCCATGAATGAGCTCAGAGGAGCCAAGGGTTTCCCAGGGGACCTGAAACGAGGTCTGAGGGCAGGGCTCCAGGTCTGCTTCCACCAGTGTGCCCAGGGACTGGGTCTGTGCCGGTGTGGGCCTGTGTTTGTGTGAGCTTGGATGTCCTGCTCACATGTCTGCAGGATTGTGGGCAGTGGGCTGTGTGGGAGAGTGAGAGCCATCAGTGACCTTCAGCTGAGATATGGTGATCTCTGGATCCATGGCTGTGATCCTTAACTGAACCCTGGTACTGGTCACAAAGGAGTCTAGATCCCAAACTCAGACAGAGCCTTGGTCCTGGTCACACACTAAGCCCTGACCCTGGCCACATTCTGAGCCCTGACCTTGGTCACACACTGAGCCCTGACCCTGGTCACACTCTGAGCCCTGATCTTGGTCATACACTTATCCCTGATCCTGGTCACACTCTGAGCCCTGACCCTGGTTACACACTGAGCCCGGACCCTGGTCACACTCTGAGCCCTGATCCTGGTCACACACTGAGCCCTGACCCTGGTCACACTCTGAGCCCTGACCCTGGTCACAC